GACACTGTTCCAAAAGCAAAAGTAATATTATTGGTTTGAACAAGAAAAGAAAAAACAAATTTGCAAGATAATACGAGCCCGTTTTATTCCGTCGATTCTCTTCAACTGCCTACATCCCAAATAAATCAATTATATGCTACAACATTTTCTGAGCATACTTTTTACAATGATCTCAACTCATAGATAGAAAGTATGAGCAACATAATTTCAAAGATGGTGTAAGTGGACAATTATTTAGTGTTGACAGTAACTATTTATATAGTAATTAGACAATGAGGTGGACTTTTAATTTCGCTTGGAAACAAGAATAGACTGGAGACAAAATACAAGGTAGAAAAACAGAGTTAATTTATACATACCATGGTGGAGAGTTCAGGAGGGTGGGGGTGAATAGTGAAGTAAAATTATAAAATAGATAAAATAATTTAATGTGGTAGATTTGTAACCTTAGTGGTGAGTTCAACTCAGTGAGTCAGAATCAAAACCAACATTGAGTGGAATGTTACACAACAGGACAAAACACAAAAGTACACGAACAAAGCAATTATGGTTACCAGGGTAGTGAGAGATTAGTCACACTCTCTTTCTGTATGCATAGGTTGGGTTGAAGTCTTTTAATGCCAGTGGCTTCTGTGAACCGAAGTAACCAAGCTTTTATTGGAGTATTGATTAATTTGAAAGCCCGACTAAGTTCCACTGTATGTCTCATGTCAATTAGATGCCTGGCGATTGCGCTTGAAAATATTTTGCTGCCTTGAAGACGGAGACTTTTAGGGATGTGCTTGGAAAACCTCTTCACATGACCTCCTCCAAGTCACCCTTGCACTGACGACCAACTCGCCGCTTCCCTTTCGGGTTCCACTCGAGCAATGGCTTATCTAGTGATGTCACTTGATGGTTTCCTAAGAGTATGGCCAATCCATCTCTATTTCTTCCTGCCTATTTGTTTCACAATCGGTTCCTGTTTGGTTCGCTCCCAGAGATCTCTGTTGCTGATCTTTTGTGGTCATCTGATCTTGAGTATTGAGCGAAGACAGCTGTCGATGAAAGTCTGTAGTTTGTTTGAAGTGTCCTTCGTGACACGCCGAATCTCTGATCCGTATAGTAGCACTGACTTCACATTGGAGTTGAAAATCCGGATCTTATTTTTGATGCTGAGTGCTGTCGACCTCCACACAGACTTGAGAGCAGTGAAAGCTTGTCTTGCTTTGATATCCTCGTCAGTTCCGCCTGTAGTTGAAACGATGCTTCCCAGGTAGGTAAAAGAGGTTGTTTCTTTCACGTTCCTCCCATTTATGCTGATCGTTGTCCGTTGTTGTTGTTCTTGCCCAGGAATCTTCATCACCTCTGTTTTCTTTGTGTTCACCTGAAGGCCTATCTTTGATGCTTCTTCTGCCAACTTGTTGCTTTTCGCTTGCATATCTTCCAGTTTGTGAGAAATCAGACATATATCATCGGCGAAGTCCAGATCCTCTAAGTTTTTTGTGTGGGTCCATTTTATGCCTGTTTCCTCATTGCCCACTGTTTGTCGCATTATCCAATCTACTGCAATCAGGAAAATCATTGGTGATAGTAGGCAGCCAGCTTGTCTTACTCCTGTCCTCACTTCGAAGGGTTCCGTAAGTTTCCCGTTGTGGATTACTTGGCATGCAGCATTGTCGTACAGCTGTTGCATGAGATGTATAATTGTCGGTGGCACCCCGTAGTAGCGAAGTAGTTTCCAAATCACCTCTCGATCGACGCTGTCGAAGACCTTTTCAAAGTCGATGAAGTTGAGATAGAGAGGTGACTGCCATTCCAAGCTTTGTTCAATGATGATCCGTAATATGGCGATCTGATCAATGCATGACTTGTTTCTCCTGAATTCAGCCTGTTCCGGTCGAAGTTTTTCATCCAGGGCATGTTCAGTTCACCACTTTCTGTTTGTCTCTTTATCTGTTTAAGTGTAATATTTTGAATTGTCCGTATATCGTATTACAAAATCACAAACAGGAGTGGTCTTCCAAAGCATTCAGACAACCTAGCTCTTGATATTCTATCAGAAAGCGGTCATTTTTCAGTTCTAACTTGATATGAACTTAATTTTTACAAACGACTGAAAGTTTTTTCCACATTCTAGTTAATCAAATGTGAGTATCGTGGAATGGAGCCATTTTCTCATCTTTCTGTTTACTTTCAAGACTTTTAGGTGTCTCTTCACCATTGTATTCTGTACAATACAGGCTGGCAAGATATTCTTTAATATTATTAAAGACTGTACAATTCACCTAGAAGAAACACTGCATCAATATCATCAATCAAAGGATTATAAATCCCATCCTTAGTAAACCAACCTAAATGATTTCGATCAGCGATCTATTTATTTTCAGATTTTTAATAAAAGTGACTAAGCTTATAATTTGTTTACTCAATTTCGCCATAATTTTTCAATTAGTAGTTATATGATGGACACTGGTTATAAAAAATCATGTAGGCAATATAAAGTGCAACCACCGAGACTAGGGACAAAGGCCTATCAGAAACAACTAAGATTTGGAAACACAGCTGAAGATAAGATAATGAAGAGGGGGGGAACTGTAGTAGAAGGTAGCTGAAGTGTTGCTTGTAAAATTGACAATGATTACACTCTGGTGATATTTTATCACTACCACGTATAGTTTACCATAGAAACAGTGTATGAAATGTTATCAGTATTCTTATTTTTTTCAGCAGTATTTCAAAAGTTGACTGTTCAAAAGATTGCAATTACTTCATTACAAAATCTCCTTGATACACAGTGCATTTAAATTGTTGATGTCAGTCCATTCATCTCATAACAAATTGAGAATACAGAAACTAAATGGCAGACATGAACTGGTGGTTTGAAATGCATATGCAGTACATTTATTTTCATGAAAAGGATCAAGAATGCATGTATAAAAATAATATTATTGGGGATAGTAATAAACAGGTCATTTGTGGTAAAGATACCTACCCTATTTTTTAAATAAGTCAGCGATCAACTTTAAAATGGATACTGTATATACTGCACCAAGAATACTGCCGAATGTTGTGATGTGTTGCAACTGAAGTATTAAAGAATTCAGAATAATAACAGAAATACATCTTAAATAAAAAAACTTATTCATTGGCCTACACAGTGCTCTTCAACTGGATGTATACGGTTCTTCTTTTTGGAAAAGGGGCATCATATTCAGTTTACAAACTTTGTTTATTTGTTCAAAGTTTCATACTTTGCACAATGAGTCCACATTTATCAAACATTGAATATTGTAATTCTGATTGTCACCATATAGTTCTTTTTCCATGTCAACATTATTTGTTCTCGATGAAAGAAGTCTAAAGAAAACAGACATGTTACATGCAAATCATCTTGGGTTCTTTGTTTCGTATAACATGAATAAAAGGCAGTTGCGGTGTAGACACTGTAGACGGACACCTTGTCAGACATAAATACACACTCACACCCATACAAAGACCAAAAACGAAAGACTTTGAATACGGGTAGCTAATTTAACTATCATTTTACAACCAATTCGTGTAATGATTATCTTTTCCCTACCCTCCTTTTTTCTAAACATTTCAGTAGAAAAGACATAGTAATATTTATCTCATTCAGACAAAATATTTGTTTATTTATCTTTCATCTGATTGTTTACTATTGTTGTCGTTACACAACAATTAGTCTAGCTGATTAGTGTGTGAGTCTGTGAGTCTACACAAAACTTAGAATATAATGTGTGCTTTTCGTTCATCTGCACTAATAGCCTATGAATGCAATGTGGAAATATGATTTGATAAGGTCGTCAAGACAGTCATATGTTTATAACTATACAATTGATCAGTTCCTCCAATATCTGAATAACCAACAATTATTGGCAAAGTTTTATTTGATTAATTACTATGAGCATGTATTAATACTTGAATGTTTCCAGTGTCTGGATTAGTGGACTAAAATGGTCGATCTGTATTGATATGCGGCTGCTAGGTGTACGGATAAAGACACACAACTGAAATTGACTGAACAAGTGATATTTCTTGTGACTTAGCAGCCTAAAGGAAACTGCTTTAGTTTTGTGAAGTGATACCTGTTGGATTTCTGTACCACTGACAAAAATACGCAGGGATGAAGTTGTACTAAAGTAACGAGTCTGAAGCGGAATTCATAGCACTTGCTTCATGTATTTTCGTCTGATATAAAATGCTAAGGGGTGGTATCACCTAGCACCAACAAAATGCACACAAACTGGTCATCGGATGATAGTCATTCTTACAATCTGGTCCTAAGTTTATTGTTAGAAATATATCGACGGGATGTGAAGTGTAATCACTAAGCTAAGTGACATCAGGCTGTTGTCCACTGTCTAGACTGAATCTTAGATAGCGAGATTGTTTTCTAGAAGCATTCTCTGATTGAAGAAGTAGAATAGTGATGAAAAAATGAATAGTATTCAAAAGTTTACTGAAAGAAATGATGGTTAAAAAAGAATCTTTTTTAGAAAGCATTAAAACAAACTTATTGCCAAAATAGCACGCAAGTGATGTTTAGAAATGTTCGGGATACTGTGATCTTGAAGGGCTTATTCAAAACTTTGAGAGAGTTAAAGTTTAGATTTCATCTAATTTTTTTTAGTGTGTTAGCTTAGGTTTTCCCCTAAATGTCACTTCAAAAAATATGATGTGTACATAGTAGACTTCTTAATTTAGCCTGGGAAATAAATAAGCAACACAGTTGTTCTAATTTAATTTTGATTTCCTCTATGACTTTCATAAACTTATCTTTATTCTTTACACATTATTATTGTTGTAGGCGTAATTAAAATGCTCTGCATAACACTGTGTGATTTTGTCAGAATAAAATTTTATCCATAATGGAACTATAATTTATCATGTGTAGTATTATTGATTTCCTGACATATTTTGAAATCAGGTATTACATTATATATATATATATATATATATATATATATATATATTGCTGATCACCACTTATAGGGCGAATGAATACTCTGATTAAACCTAAGCTAGTTTCAGTTGATACTGAGGAGTATTTACCAGCTCATTCAAAAGGAAAGATTGAGAATGACAGTCAAGAAACTAATGGTGAGGCAGTATTCACAGAAGCACCTACACAGGTTTCTAATTTACCATACTATATTGCATATCATCGTAAACGTGCTGATAAGCTATTTTTACATGCACGTGGAAAAGAGAATGGCCTAAAACATGTTGACATAAGAAAGGGTTTCCTGGCAATATTCTGGATTATTGTGTTTATTGTAACTATGAGTGTTTTCATAATGATGGCTACCAATCTTTTTGAACAGTACGATTCAGGTCGTGTGGCTACACAGATCAAAGCGGAACAAGATGCTATGATTTTTCCTGATGTAACAATTTGTGCTAAAGTGCCATTTTATGTTGATGATGAAAATGCGAAGAATGAAAATACAACGGATTATATTTTAAAAAAGAGTGAGGAATTAATACGCAAAAAACTGAGAGATTCATCCTTAAGGCAGACAAAATCTAATGTCGAGGCAGCTTTATTAATAGAAATGGCTATGAAACGAGGTTAGTGAGCCTATACTTTCATTTCCTGAGCATTGGGTTATCACTGAATATTCAACCAAAAGTGCCATATAAGAGTTAGGTTACTCAAGAGTAGTCAAAACTAAAACACTAAAATAACGGGGATTTACAGGCAATTTCACTGGTATTCCATGTGCAACCGGTTTAGGAAAGGTTATTCAATTACCTTTTATCACATCCAGTTGACATCAAATGAAGGCAACCTTTTCCCTATTTCCATTCATGGCTGTCAGATTAAAGTTTAGGTCTTCATTTTGATCACAAAGTGATTTTAGTTACAGAACTACTGAAATCCAGACAGCACTGGACAGCTGTTTCGTCCCTATTTGGGACTTTTCCTCAGTACGAACCCCTTACCCCACCAGAGATTGAACTTAGGACCTTTAGCTTACAAGGCGAACTCGTCTGACATTCAGTTGCTGGGAAGGAGTCAAGGGACTCATGAATTCTAACTTCTGTCAAATTACGATATAATGCGGCCTACAGCCAGTGTCATCAGTGAGTAGTTTTGCTCACGCCCAACTTGGTGGATCCCACTGATCACACTTACCAGACAACTTCATCATGTAGCTGGTCCCTGGTGGGCATTAGATTAATTTTCAAGCGTTGGTTTGCACTTCATTCAAATCCCTGTAAAACAACACTTAAAGTCTATGCTATAAACACAACTCTGTATTGTGAAAAAATAGCTGAAAGTGGGCTAACAGTGATGATGATAGTAATGCGTTTTTGTCTTTAATCACAAATCGTCTCTTATATAATAAAGAGGAAGGTGTCATTCTTCACTTGTTTAAATAAAATAAAAACAAATGTTTGTGCAAAATAGGATGACGCTATCATTTATTTCCTTGGTTACTCTTCAGTTGTGTAAAATATAAAATTTAATTATATATATATATATATGCAAAGAAATTTTAACATATTTGCAAGGGTTACATGAATAAATAAAAGACGATAATAACATGTGATATTTCATAACAAGAGTTATCTATCTTTACCATTGGATATAAAAGAGATCTGTAGTTCAAATATCTGACTTCAAATTCAGTGGTTAGCTGATATGTAATCTTAGTGCACCTATTTAGACGAAGGCAAAATGTCACAAGCTGACTGTTTAAAGCAACACGATATATAAAACAGTCACCTCACTAGCTTCTTCAGAAAGTTTCTAAGAAAGCATATCGATGTTACTATATGGGCAAATAATAACACGAAATAAGTTCATTGTGATGGAAAACTAATGTAAATTTGAGCTTATGTCTATGATCATCAGTATGCTTATTTTTGATTTCATACTGTGTGTATCTAAAAATCTAGTTTTTTTATTCCCCACTCCGATTTGGAATAATGTTAAGTGCTTAAATCATAGTGAATACTTGATCACACTCATGAGAAATGAGTCGAAAAAGTGATAACACAGAGGATATGAGCAGATTTAGAATAATACAGTATGTGGCGTAAAGTGTTTAGGAAAAATGGAATGCATCTATATTCAAAAAAGTCACTGATATATACAGACCCAATTTTCTACATGTCATTTTTACATGCATGTTTGTATTCCTGTCACAGCACTTATTGATTTATGACCTGATTTTCTCTCACTCAACTTATGACCTATGAAATCCTATTGGTTGTTCACTGTCTTAATTTATTAATGACATTAGTGCTCCTCAAGATCGTTTTAAACATATACAGACATACATACAAGCGCTGTCAGACTTTTAGACTGTTGTTTTGAGACAGTAAAAACCCTCTTACCAACGTCCAGTCTTCTCTTCTATCTTTGCGGAGGTATTATTGTTGATGTTGATGTGCAGTTATGACAGGTAAGCCAGAGCATTAAAGTTAGTATTTCGCTCATAGTCGACTAGGTCATAGTTCCAGTCATAATAGTCATGTGTTTTTCAACACTTGTCAAGAGAAAGTACTAGTGTAACAACAGAAGACAAGGGCCAGGCAACAGATCGTTTATTAAGGAAATCAAAGCATATTTACATATTTTCATGTACATTATTATAGTTTAGTTAAGCAAACAAACACAGTCTCACTTAAAGTTAATCTTTCATCTCTTTGTGACTGTTTTTTGAATGTCAGATCATCTATATGTTAACTGTATCCGCCTACGCAAAGTATGCTGTGGTCGGTTTTGAATCAATCTTTGTTCATATTTTCTCACGGCAAATCTTGGGAACGTAAATATTGACGTAAATTACTGTCTACCAATTTGGCTAGTAGACAGCTCTCACCACATAACTACTAATTGAAAAATTATGGCGAAATTCAGTAAATAAATTATAGTCACTTTTATTAAAAATTTGAAAATAAATAGATCGCTGATCGAAATCATTAAGGTTGGTTTACTAAGGTTGGGATTTATAATCCTTTGATTGATGATGTTGATGCAGTATTTCTTCTAGACGTAAATTACTGTCTACCAATTTGGCTAGTAGACAGCTCTCACCACACTAGGAACTTCATGTACACTATGATACCTAGATTTCATTTGTTTTAATGTTATAGTTGAAAACGACGTTCCGGAATACTCTAAAGATGTATTACGTTAAGTGAGACTAGAATCAGTATATTAACTAGTGGCTATTTTCATTTTTCTATATAAAATCGTGGCCTCAGTCTACCTATTTGTCTGTTAGGTGTAATCACTCTGATTATTTTCTTCATTTTATTCACAATCTGTAAAGCTAAGATACTTTTTAACTCATTTACTGTGTTTAACTGTATGTAGTGTATAAACTATACATTTCGGACATAACAATAGCTGATATCTCAAAATCAATTCGTGTAATGAGCACTTGTAAATCTCATAAGAACATATCTACCCCTTGATTCTTAAGGGATCCAACTGTTTAGTTATCACTCTTATATTTTCAGGATCTCTTCACATTCATACTAAAATAACGAGAGGATCATAGTGTTGTTTTCCATCACTTTACAGGTTTTACTATGCAGCTAAATGGTTGAAAATAACACTCACAAGTTCCCGTGAGCGTTAGATCATTTTCGTTAACACGGAATACTTGATAAATACACTAACAATATAAATAAAACTATTCAACTAAACCAAGAGTTTTGTAATTTGGACTATTTTACTATATTTATTCTAAGTTTAAGTGAGTAGTTTAGATTGCATTGGTCACTTATTATTAGTGTCAGGCATATTTGAAACTATCAGACCACTTTGCAAAGCTTCAAACTCCATTTTATTCTCGGTAGGGTAGATAACTCCAACACCTAGTTCACTTTATACTTCAAAAGATGTATTTTAATCTTTATTTTCTCACTTCGATGATTTCTTATGACAGCTGATATTTGTTTTATACTTTCACTATCTCTTGTTGTTTCCATGCCTATCAGAATTGTGAAGTAAGTTGTGGGAATGTGAACGGATATTGACCTCAGAGTCTGAAAAGTTTCATGTCATGGAAGTCAGTCTGAACGAAGATTACACATTAAAAAAAAACTACTCATCACTCATCAGAAGTAAACATTTTAAAGTAATTTGTCACATCATATTCATTGCTGGTATAGTTGTATATAGTTATATATACCTGGTGAGAAGCCCTTGAAATAAAATGAATTCACCTTATTCTGCGAAATTTGTTCTCATTGCATTATTCTAAATAACGTATTAATTCATCATATGCAACCTAGTATTAATCAGGCAGTGTTTAGTGAACTTTGACTGTCCCAGAAAGATATCAGTAATTCTGGAATATTTTCCAGTGTTCGTTTACAGAGATTTGATTGCTCAATGGGCTCGCCAGAGTAATCTGAATGCCTTGGATTTGATTCTTGAAAGCATCATGGGCGCGCTTTTTGCTGAGCAGTCCCAGGCCAGGACGAAACAACTCTTCAGTACTCCGTGATTTTCAATGGGTTTATAACTGATGTCGATCTGTGGTGAAACTTGAATTCTGACTTACTTAAAATATTAAATAAGCAATTCCTTAGGTTATCAAGTGGTGATTTAGTCGTGTTTGAGTTTGTTTGTGGAATATATTTGATCAGTTAATGTAGGAGTAGAATTTAGGCATTCTGGTGGAATATTATTCTATACTAGAAAAGTTTATTTGATTCAGCACACAGTGATACATTTTTAATGACTGGATGACGTTCCGAGCACAATTCACTGCTCAAATCATATCATAAACATATCATATGATTATGGGCATAATAATAATAATCCTTTTTTGTGCGTCGGTGGCATAGCAGTTAGGACGCTTGCCGACCATGCACATGGTCCAGGGTTCGATCCCCGGCCGATGCACTGCTTTACCTCGCTGAGCCAGAAATAATGCTGGTAAAGAGGAAAGGTTGGACATGAGGCTAGCAACCCCATCCTGTGAAATAAACACTGCTACAGAAACTTCAAGCCAGTAGCTTGAAGCCCTATGTTCCACTGGGGAACGTGAAGGAAAAAAATGATTATGGGCAATAGACTGCACTCGGAAAGTTATGTCATTATTAATACTGTATCACCATGTTAAGTCAAATAAACTTATCTAATATAGAATCGCATTTGAGCAAGCTGAAATACTGAAGATTCATATCAATTAAAAGTTTCACAAGACACTAGCAACAACTTTTTCTGGAAAAAGAATATTTGTATTCTACTTTCTTAGCGTTTTTCTTTTCGGATGAACGACATAGGTCTCTGTTTTAAAAAAAAATTTATAGCATTGTTTAAATAGTATCTTCTAATTAAGTAGTATGGCACATCTTAATGAAATTGAAGTTCTAATTCCTTCCCTCTTTTTTGTGTGTTTTCTAATCACTATACTCTTAGAGAATACTTTCATGAGAGCCTATGAACATTTCATTTACTGCAAGTATAATGATAATGATTGTTCATTTTACAATTTCACTGAAATTGTTCATTTACGTTACATCCAATGTTTCACATTTTCCCCAAACGATAAAGTCATCAGTGGAAATAAAGGTTTAGAATTTATATTTTATAAAAGACATGGTAGAGGAAAACCATTTGTTATGCTAAATGATCTTGAAGTAAGTTGAATGCTGCGTTTTATAAGCTGGTAATGCATATACTCATGGTTATTTTGCTCTCTGGAATTTCATTTTTATCCAGCAAACTTTCAGATTCTATCAGGATTTAATCTATGTGGGGCTTTAAAATGAAGTAAAGCGGAAATAATCACAATACATATTCAACTGAGTGATTAATAATGAACTGCATCATAAAACGTTACTGAAAAATGAAGGTAGTTCAGCGAATTCATTTTTCTTTAGGTGTACAACCGCATTTGTATTCAGTTTTTCACAAGGGATAATCATATTTTCTAGTCTTAATCAACCCATAAGAAAAGTTGAATAAGGGTGTTGGTGTTAGACAATGAGGTAAATAATTTAATGAGTGAGTTGTAATCAGGATGCACACAGAAACGAAGGAATTATGATATTACACAAGAGTTCAGAGGAATGGAAGGGTTGGAAGGAGTTATACAACAAAAAACAAATTAGTTGAAAAAAAAGATCATTACCATGATGGTAGAATCGGTTGAAGAATCCTCTTTTGTGTGCAGAGCTCCGGTTTCTTCATTTGGATGACTAGAACTTTAGCGGTGCTCAGGATGAGGAAATTCACTGTCTTCAGGAGGTTGATGTTGAATTTGCAGATCACAGTGAAAGAATTCATTGAGACAGAATGGGCGATGTTGACAAGGTGTTTACTTATTGTACTTCTTATAGAGCCACTGCTACCTTCCTGCAACCTTGTGAGATGGCGTTCTTGGAGTATTTTAGACAGAAAACTCATCTAACGACCCATATACCTGGCTCCACAGGAAAAGGTAAACTGATATAAGCATATGGAAATGGTCAGATGCCAGATCTTGTATTTCAGGTTTCTAAAGACCATTGGGTAAATGACGAACAACACTGCTGCGAAGAAGTTTCCTCTCAGAGATGTTGAAATTGTTATCTTAAGGAAGTCACAGGTTAAGTCACCCTTGAAACCAAGGTTCATTTAAGGTTTTTCCATTCTTACGAGCTATGCCTCATGTTTATGAATTTTCTTTCATGTCAGTATGGGGATTATTTATGAATTAAAATGCTGTTGTCTAAAAGTTTCTTCCTAATGAAATTACCGATAACCGAAAATCAACACAGTGATCAGAGGTTGGAAGAAGCATATCAGCAATGTAGGTTTAAGATTCAGAGAGTTCATCCAAAAACTGATAAAAACGTGGCTGCCATGAGGGTCTTGAATAGTTCAGTATACAATGAATCAATATTCTTCCTTAAATATATCTCAGATTATTAAATGACAGAATCATACGGAAAATGTTTAGTTCAATTAGAGTACTTTTGTTCAATGAATGTTTCACAGTAGTGTTTGCAGAATTTATTTGAGTGAGATGACAAAGTGGTACGAATCGATATTATCTAAAGAACTCTTGAAAAGCCAGAGGATACGTGATGATACTTCAGAATAATGTGGTAACTGTAAAAAAATGTGTACTTAAGATCCAGTACATAGTCGAGCACAGGACTACTAGACTTACTGACAAGAACGTCTTTCTTGAGTAACTCACCTAGAATCCGGAGGTTCATTTCCCCTAACTTCTGACAGTTATTAACTTAGTACAGCCATTGTCTAATGTCAGGGATCATATGATTCATCCTAAGAAACTACTTCACTGTTATTATACAAAAACTGATCTCAACTGCAGTAACAGGGAATTTAGATAGTAAATAATTGTGATGGATGATGAGCGTAAAGCAGTTTAAGTTTTGAAAAAGTTTATATCTCACGTAGTACTGTTCTTTTGTAAATGTAAATTTCGGAGGAAAATAGACTTCATAAAAGTTTTTGTTCAACTTACCGAAAGTTAGGTAAAACCAATCAGATTACTTTAGTGAAATCTAGTTTCCTATTCCCAGTCTAAATGCAAGTCACAGCTTAATAACTCAGCTTGCCCAGAAGTTGATAAATTAAAGATCGCTCGTGAAATGTTAGTTCTTTTTGTTCATTAACTCGTCGTATCTTAAGACAGAGAGGATAGGCTTTGTGATGAAATGTTATTTCAAGAGATAATTAAGGGAGTAAGTATCTATACTACAGGATAAAGCAAAAGCAAAGGAAGTGTTTTTTTGTACACGTCTATTCTAACCAGGAAATTTTCTCAAGAACATTTTACAGTTTTGAACTTATACATGTGCATATTTATTTGGTAATTTTTGACAGGATGAATTATTTTCCTCAGATATTTATGATGGAATCAACGTGATTGTGCATAATCCTAATACATTTCCAACTTATGCATTTAATTACTTATCTACTAGTTTTGCTTTAAGATATGGTCAGCTGGCTACTGTTGATGTTTCTGGTTTAAAGTATAAATCAGATATGACTGGTCGAAAGTCATGCTTTCCAAAGAGGGATCCATACAGGCAAGTTTTTACTTTGTTTACTTTTGAATACCTTATTTGGTTGTTAGTTTTCAAAGTGTTTTCCAAGCCGAATTGACGTCAATCAGTAAATAAATAAAAATAATGGTGCAACAAACATTTGTTTCCTTATAATTATCATTTGCTCAGAAGAGTAAATCCATAAGTTCATATGAAATTCAACAGTGTTATGACCTTGCTGCTGTTCAGCTGCAAATGTGCAAAAGAAAAAGCTATGCTTTTTATTTCGATTCAAGGCATAAGTCAACCATCGTTTAGTGTCATCCGTGAGTTGTTGTTCTCTTACCCGAGTTACAGATTTTCATCAAAATTTCTAGGAATTTGCAATGAAGTCAGCCACTGATTAGTAGTAAAATATTATTATATAAGCTCTGGTGTAGTTTTCACCAGAAAACGATATAAGATAAAAATTTGTTTAGAACCAGAATCGTCAGAGAACGATTTTATCATTTTTTTTCGATAGCAGCTTGATGCCACACCGTATTTTCAGTACAAGTATGACATTTTCAGCATGGATATCGGTAGCCCAAATTTTGCAGGCCGACCATAGATATCGGGTGTGCGTCGGCAGGGGATCGAACCCCGGACCATGTGCATGGTTGGCGAGAGTCCTAACCACTGTGCCACCGACGCACAGTTTCAACTGCTCAACCGTCCACAGGCTCAACGCCGAAAGCTACTGAACTCATTGTATTTCTGACTCACACAGATTATAATAGTATTCAGTTTTAATCTCGATATAATATAATCATTAATTCTTCACATTTATTTACATAATACTCGTTGTTAATCCACTTCAAGTGTAATTTTTAAAGTTTAAGGAGATTAGAAGTTTGTTAGATATAATAAGTCTGAGTTATGAGTAAAAGAGATCTGATAAAACTGGTTTTAGGCTGGTCACACTTTGCCTTCAATACAAGTACACTAGATTATGTTGACAAAGAGCTGATACTGTGGTTAGGTAATAAAGTAAAATGTAAAAACTTTTGAATCTAATCCCTTCGTATGTTCTAAGAATACAAAATTATTGTAAAATCAGTTTTCAAGTGACTGGATAATACTTGATTTAGGATTCCTTCTAACTGACTGATCCCAAACTAGGAGGAGTGCTATTATTCATCCACAGAACTTCAACACCTGACGGCTTATGAATAACTACTCGAATAGTCTTCTCCCATTGAGAATACTCCCCAGACAGACTGGAAGTTAACCTTAGTTCTTCAGAAAAAAGGAAGAACTTCCAGAATTGAAGGCTATTTGACTAGTTATTTTACATGACAAGTAATCTATAATTTTAATTCTTAGAAACTGTGTTCTAACTAGTTGGCATCGTAACGAAAATTCAGTGGAAAGTTTGATCTACTCTGAGGAGAATATTTAATCCACAGCTTGTGCGTCGGTGGCACAGTGGTTAGGACTCTCGCCGACCATGCACATGGTCCGGGGTTCGATCCCCTGCCGGCGCACACCCGATATCTATGGTCGGCCTGCAAAATTGGGCTACCGATATCCATGCTGAAAATTCCATACTTGTACCAAAAATATGGTGTGAAATCAAGTTATAATAAAATTTAAAAAAATAAAATAAATAATAATATATCTCCTGTCTGTCCTAACTTAGAGTAAAAGCCTATACTTTCCAACCCAGAGAATATAATATTACATAGTAAACTGAAGGAATATTTTGGAGCGAAACGGTACATGCTAGTGACTGTTACGAGTATTTGAAGGACATTTACAACAACAAGTAGTGCTTTCGAAATGATAAAAAACAGTAATAAAATTTCAGTTGCTATCATTATTAAACCTGAGAACACCATTTATGCAATCTGTTTCAAAAGAAAAAAAAGCGGACTCGTGGTGTTTATATTACCCTGGTCTATCCGACTAGCAGCGTTGTTTTGTGTGAATGACTTCTATCTATATCTAGACTTGTGATTTGTTAGTTTTCCAGCACAGTCAAGGGAATTCCAGAAAAGAAATTAAGAAACTATTTAAAATGCAATTTAAAAGAGAGAGAGGGAATATACACTGAACCAGACCAAGAAGTAATTTCAGCTAGTGTTTGTTGGTTTAGTTGAACCTAAAAAGTAGGTTTATATTTGTACATAACTTCGACATTGAAATTAGATGGTTGGAGGCAATCGGCAGGAAGCCTTGGACCTAGGTTTCGTGCTAGTTGGCACTCGTCAGCAAGGCGTATCTGCAACCTTGAAGGAACTCATGTCCCTTCTGAGATTCGAACCTGCGTCACCCAGTGCTGCAGTCAGAGACGTTACCACTGAGCTATTCGGGCTCGCAGTTGACCTCCTGTAGGACTGTAGTGGATATTTTGATTTGACAATAGTAACTAGTATGATGCGTCTAGTCCTCTCTCTGGTGCAGACTGAATTCTATCAGTCAGGTTGTAACGTGGCCATCATTCTAGGTAGCTCGCCATCACAGTGGTAAGGTCTCTGACTGCAGCAATGGGTGACGCAGGTTCGAATCTCAGAAGGGACATCAGTTCCTTCAAGGTTGCAGATACGCCCTGCTGACGACTACCAACTAGCACGAAACTTAGGTCCAAGGCTTCCTGCCGATTGCCTCCAACCATCTAATATCATCACAAACAGTGTACACCGTGATGGCGAGCTACCTAGAATGATGGCCACATTACAACCTGACTGACAGAATTCAGTCTGCACCAGAGAGAGAACCAGACGCATCACATTAGTTACTAGTGTCAAATCAAAATACTGGACATTGAAAACCGGAGTTTATGCACATTACACAGTCAAAATCGTTCCTGAAATTTTATATTGTGAATTGGGTCAAATGATAAAACAGATACCACATTGTTTATTATGTTTGGTCCCCTGAAATTTCAGCTGGCATTCAAACAAGATAGGAGGGACAATATCAATATTTATCAGTCTACCTGATTTTGAGGGAAAACAGACACAGGTATAAGTAATATGAACCAATCATCTATTTACATCTTTTACATTATCGAATATCATACTTTACAAAGTGCAGAAAATGTTTAGCTGAGAGGTGGCTAACTTCATGTCAGTTTTGGTTGTAATGTGATCATCTCTCGAGATGAGAGGTGAGTATAATTTTCGTTTGGGCATCTGGCAATTCGATATATGGATAGAACTTGGACACTATGGTAGAGGATAAATCCATCATAGAGAAAATTTGTTTGATAAAGCCTTATAGTGTTATAAGTCCATGGAATTATATAAACGAAGTTAGAAAGTTGTGTGAGTACCTTGATAATAAATATTACAAGCAATAAATTGTGCTCGAAACGTCATCGGTAAATATTACTGTATAACACTGAAACTTTATCAAATTAATTTTCTCCATGGTGGAATCTGGATTGTTCCAGAGTAATGCAAGTCTCTATGTTGATAATTTCTCTACAATTTATTTTTAAGAAACCAATATTTTCGTAACAGTATTAGCACTGGTGCTATTGTAACAGTATAATACAAAAGAATTAGGCAACGGAATCGTATATTGGCAGTTTGATACACAGATATAGGGAGAACAAGTCCGCTGTATTTTAGAATCACAGTCTGCACACTTCTTCGGTATTGTGTTACCTTGTATATCTTATTGTTGTTCTTCATCTTCCTTTAGTATCTCCATGTTTCACTAAATCCATCTCTCCACTATTCGATATTCTTGCAGCTGATATATATATATATGGAGGACCAACCCATAAATTCTCATCCATCATTGGCAAACTCACTGACAGACGAATTCACGTCTCAGTTCTACTCACATTGAATTACAGTAGTTGACTATGTAGTCAGTTATTAATGAGAAATTCTGAGATGGATTTAAGTTTTTAGACCATAAATACAACTGCAGGACCACTGGTTCAAGTCCTGCAACAATTACTCATCATGTGAATAGCAGTCTGGAAGTCTCCAACATAAACTACTTCAATACTTAGACCTAATCTCATGAAGATGTCATTTCGCAATGGAAAAACATTTAATCTTTGTTTATAGGGATAGAAATATTTTTGTAGAGATACTGCTTTATTTTAACCATCGATAGTTATCCATTTTTTGCAGATGACTCGCTTCTAAGTAGTTTTCACGGTTTTATGTAGTTGTATATGGAGTTGTAGTGTCCGCCCAGCCATGAAGGCGTAGCGGATGCAAACAACGAGTAGGGAGACACATGAATAAAATTACGAAATCAGGTGTCATACTGTGCTACAAGTAGTCAAAAAGGAAGACAAACTAAGGAGTACATTTTTGTTGTTGCTGAGTACCTCAAAATGAAGTAAGCACTGAAGGTGTTGTCTAGAGAGATAATAAAAGCTCCCCATTTAGATCACTCAGCTCAGAAGACTTAACAACACAAAAAAGAACCAAACCAGCTACAAATCTGATCTGCTATTTCACAGTAATATGTTACAATTATTACGATAAAGGTGTTGTATAAATGTTTCCATATTAATACAGTTGATTGCAATCAGTGGCAGCCTGAATCTCCAAACATAAATTCCACTTATCACGTAGATCCCATCTGCGTAACATTACAGTTCATGTGATTGCTTTACTCTAAAAGTTTGGTTAATAATTTTGATATTCATTATTGATTTCTGCCGACTCTAGTGTTTGTCAAAATTTTTTTTAATCTTTAAATTTATCATATTGCTGAAATGTATTTCTTCACTGAGTAAGATTTCGCTGGCGAGTTATTGTTCATATTCTTGTTGAAACAGTTACACAAATTTTAATTCTGGAGTATTCAGCTATAGCTATATGAATGCAAAGGAAAGGAGTAAAAAGGTGCACAATCACTCTTACTTAACTAATTGTAACAACAGAAGACAAGGGTCAGGCAACAGATCGTTTATTAAGGAGAATCAACACATATTTATAAATTTCAATGTACATTATTGTAGATTATTGTTAGTAGATAATACAGTCTTTTGATTGGTTGTTTCTCACAGAAAGTTAACCTTGTATCTCTTTGTGGTTGTGTCAGATCATCCATATGCTAACTGCATCCGCCTACGCAAAGCCTTTGTTCTCATTTTCTCACCACCAATATTGGGGACATAAACATTGATGTCAATTACTGTCTACCAACTTTAGCTAGCAGCCAGCTGTCACCACAAATAAATAGTAAAGTAATATCTAAAACATCATCGGTTGGATAATTTTTGTTGTACTGTATAACACATATGGCTTGCCGATTAAGAGGTGATTACATACCAGTACGATGCTTAGGTCCATCTTAGAATTATATTTAGCATGGAAAATATAAAAAAGATATCTACAAAAGTTTTTTTCTCAATATTTTTTAACGTATCAATTTGTTTTACATTTATCAGTGTAATTCTAGGAACTTTTCTTATATTTTTCTAAATAAGTTGTAAAACAAATGTTCAGAATAAAAATAATTTTCATAGTGAAATGATATGGAGTAGAGAACCGTTTTTTCGTCGCAGATTGAGACACTTCAGAAGCGTGCATTCAGAGTCATGTTTAAGATCAAATAAGAAGCCGTAGAGTGTACATTACTGTTAAATAGTACTTGTTTATTAAATCTGCCATTTCAGGATAAAGCATTGCTACAAACTAATGTCACACATGAACACATGTTACTCACATTTGATTTAACTTACCTCACTAACCACTACTTCTTATGAAGACTTCTGAGATTCATTTTCCAGCCGATCGTAAATTTGGGGAATAAGTGGATTTCAGGTCGGCTCTTGCTACCAGTACTTAATGCGCTTCGGATACTGGATGTGGACTAAAAGAAGTTTCGTAATAGAGCCATACAGCTGCTCATTACCTTTTTTGTCTACAACATTGCCGAAGCCAATTCGATCCATCATAACTACAGTTTAAAGTCAGTATAATGATCAATTATGTAAAAGTCAGATTTACGCCAGTGGACCAGTCAAGGACAATGCTTCAATTCATCTAAATTAAGACTGTAAACGACCTCGTAAATAATACTCGGAATTGATTTTTTTTAATTAATTAGCACCAAAGATAACGCTTACATTTACGCCAAAGTGTCAGACAAATAGCCTTGACTTAGTAAGTGTACTAAAACTTTCATAAAATGAAACATGGTTTTTTGTATTTATAGAGGGAATTTGTAGTATCTGCATAGACAATACTATGCGAGTTGGCTACATAAGTAACAGAACCGTACAAATCCACGAGTCCCTTAAAACTTTACTCTTTTCTTTATTGAGATTCTAGTGAAAAATCACTTACTAATAAAATCAAATAAGATTGAACAAAGATAGAACAAGCATTAGTGTGGAATAAATTAGATTCATTTTATTTCATCAATTCTCGTCATGAGTCAGTCCTCCAGTAAGGAGTGTTTTAAGAAAGTCATAGTGAAACGAAACATAAGAATGATAAGGTTACCTTAAGTTATATATATATATTTTATAGGAGCGAAGTCTCCTGTAAAATAAAGAGCAGTTTTGTTGTTAGGGTGGTGATAAGTCAGTGATAATAAAATACTCTGATTAGAAATCGTAAGATTGGGAAACCAAATTTTAGTTTATACAAAGTCGAGTGAAATTATGGGTTTTACATAGTTAACAGAGCCCGATGAAATAAAATGGATCCAAATTGTCCTGCACCGGTGTTTGTTCTGCCTCTGTTCAGATTTATAAACGGTAATTCTGGTGTGGTTGTATTCTCTGAGCTGGATGGTTTGGTTGCGCAACCAAACCATCCAGCTCAGAGAATACAACCACACCAAAATCATCCACCTGAGCTACAAATCTTCTCTATTATATCTAAACGGTAATTCGTTTATGATTTCAGCTTATGATGAAATTCTCCAACCAAAAAATTATATAAGTTGGATGGTGAGTATCACTGAAACCCAGTGGGCTTAAAAGATGATTATGCCACAGAACGATTCGACTAAATTTTGTCTTCTATTGTATAGCTGAAGTATTTATCTCAGAAACATTTATTACTGAACCTGCTTTTACCTACGTAAATAATTTTGTCTTTTTTAATTTAAACATATTTAACTTAAAGATATACTAATTTCCGTGGTGGTGCAAACTTCTTAGAATATCGTTATACTTACGAAGATTGTATAGCTAATATGAAACAGCGTTATATATATGAAAAGTGTAATTGTTACTCGGATCACTTATTCGTACCATTTCAAGATTCTAAAAGTAATGATTCAATGTATCGTAGTAGTTATGACACTGCTGATCTTATTAACAATCCTATTGTTAATGAAAAACAAGAAGATGAATCAGTACAAAAATCCACTCACTTTTGTCGCGATATTCGACATAAAACGTCACATCGTCTACGAAATGAATTTCTGTGCTTTGAACAATATCAAAAAATGCCAACTACCTCTGTATTAGATAAATTTGTACAGCCAGACAAATTGTATGCAACCAGACATAATTTGGATGCTAGAAAGATAGAAAGACATAAAGTTTGTTCATTACTGTGCGAAAAAGTAAGTTGTAATTTGTATATTTATTTACTTAGTTTGAAAACTCTTTCAGTTGTTTTAAGGATTTCTAGTTTCCACAAAGTACTGATAAGTCAGAATTTATGCAGTGCACATACTAAGATATTCGTGACTTGGATTTAGCCAGTGCGTCTATGTTGATCATTGACTAACTTCAGACTTTGAAAGAGAAGTTACAATGAATGTAGTCAATGGCAAGAAAAGAAGTCCATCTGTAGCTCTGCATTGTGAACTAACAGAAGCTACAAAATCATGGGCGACTGAGTTTTAATCGACTAGAATTAATAATCATGTCCTGGCCTCGTATTCTGAGGGTTCTGGGTTTTATTCTCCTTCTGCTTATTGATGGGCTCTTCGGAAGGCCGGTAATCTAGTACGAAATAACCAGTCATTACTTCTTAGTTTGTTGTGATTCGTTCAGTTGATTTAAATCAAATTTGGTCCCTTGAGAAACGAATCACCAAAAAATCAAATTCTTGCGAATCAAAGTCCATTCACTGATAAATGATTGTATACTGTTGTATTCTTCATTCCTGAGCATCACACAGAAATTTCTGTGGTAAGTTAAACTGTTATAGCCAAATTCAAAGTGACTTTGATCAACCAGTCAGAATTCAGATGTGTAAAAGTTACATTACCATTTAAAATTGTATTAAAAACATTGCAGATATAATATTACACTGAATAATTGCCTCTTATGTGTTGTATGTCTCCCAGAAAATCCAAGGATAATCCATAGAGAAATCATATCACTTGAGATAGATGTATTCTTCCAGGTGACTATAGATCTTGGCACTTTGGGATATATTGGTAGTCCTGACTCTTTTATTTAACCTTACGCCAATGCTTACCCTGAGCTTAACCATAACCCAACCTATCTGTAAAGATTTAATCGATCTTCAAGGAAGTCATTCACCGAATCCATAGCATTCCCTACATTTGACTGTTTCTTGAAAGTCAACTTTTAACAAACTTTGACTTCAGCTATGATAGTTTAACTTCATCATTTTTGTAAGGGATATGAAATGTAATTTGTGTCAAAAAATAATTTTTCTACTCAATAAACGTCAAATGAATTTAAATTATTTAAAAAATATATAAGAACAATTCTGTAGTGGTATTTGGATTCTAAGTAATTTCAGAGTAGTATTTCAAATACCTTCATTTTTAAAACATTTGACAGAGGAAACGGAAAGAAGAGGTTGGATCACATTTAAGATTAGACATAAGCTACGTGGATGTTATTATTCTAGAATAAAAGTGCTGAAACCTTTGTTATAAATTCTTCTATTTAAAAGAGGTTATTTTGGCCTTCTTTGGAGCACATGTGTTCACTCTTCTATACCTAACTCGAGAGAACAAACTTCTTAAAAGTGAGATACATTCATTAAGTCAACAAATATTATATTGCAGTTTGGTGGATGGTGATTAGCAGTGGAATTCACGATGTGTATTTCGCCCTGCTTGGACTTGTCAGCTGGATTTACCTGCATTCTCCAGGGGAAGTTCAAATTGAATTGAATAATTATTGCTACTCGTTGCACAAGAGGTGTCACTCGTGGCCTAAGTGGGGCAGTGGATAACGCTTTGGCGTTTGAAACTATGGGCACTGTGTTGGAGTCTCGGTGGGAACACTATCACTCACTGGGGAATACAGGTACATCCAGCTGACGAGTCCCAAAAAGGATGAGATGCACATCCTGGATTCTACTGCTAGTCCTCATCCACCAGTTGACTCCAAGTTACGTGACCAGACGTCACTGAAGCATCTTCACAGGAATTCGACATGTCAACCTGAGATTGAGCACTTCGGTTCAATCAGTCAACGGGAAAATCTAAATTGACTTAGGTGTTTTGCAGTTTGTTTGACTGAATGCACTTTACTGTTTCTGCACAAACCTTTCATCAAGAATCTTTGAATGTTTCAATTTTGATCACGGATGTATGTAAGTTGGAGAACCAGGGAGTAATGGACTGGATTCAAACCCCGGTGGGTGCATATTGATGATTGTCTCAAACCAGGACAAAACAGCTATCGAGTACTCTCCGGTTTTCCAATAGTTCGCTAAATTACATCAATTCGTGACCAAATCAAATCCCTACAGACTAACCCTTGGTGATCTTTACATGGATAGAATAGTGAAAGACAGTACAAACATTACCTGTTAAATATCAGAACAGGACTATGCAGCAGGATTTATAAAACTGAATTCTCAACATAAAATTTGTCGCATATATGAGGCATTTCTAGTTATTTATTTCATAAAGCACAAATAATAGTAACGAAGAAATGTAATACAAACGAAGCTTGGTAAACGGAAAAGTACTGGTGTAAGGATAATCCTATGGAAACTAATGAAAAAGTAATTCTTCTACAAGCTCATGAAGACTGAATGCAGCTGTGCCATTCAGAGCTATTTTGAGTCCCAGCAATCCTCTTATGTGGCTCAAGCCAACAGTCAAAGACTTCATACATTGTTACCATGCCTTCATTTTGATCACCCTTATTTTGTTCAACCCACTCTTGTGTCGGCCAACACTGTTCGACTAAGAAGGCGATGGATGAGCACGTAGCCTCTCTATCTCAGTCGATGTAGCTTCATGACCCTATCGATTGACTTCTCCCTCTTACCTAACACTCTACCCCTGATCTCGATATTACTTACTGTATTAAACCTCCTAAGCGTTGGTGGTTCAGCGGTAAAATGCTCACCGACCACACACATGCTCCGGCCGATGCACTCCTAAACCTTGCTTTACCAGTAGAAGACCCCATAAAGAGGAAAGGTTGGACGTGAGTCTAGACTACGTAAAGAAATAATAACACCAATGCTACTGAAACTTAAAATTTCAAAGATTTAAATCCTGTGTTCCACTCGCAATGCGAAAGAATAAAACAAAAACAGATAAATATTATATCACTCGAAACAGGAAGTTAAACACAAACACATATGTTCACAGAATCTTCGTATATTTCGCTTACAAAGGTCAAGTCTCATAGCTGTAAAGAAGAGCGGGGAGAAGTGCTGCGCAGAAGACACGTTCTTTGATCAATATGTACTGGTGGTGCTGTTGATAGGCTACACTTTACCAGTCCTTACATAACGCAATTTACCTGTGTACCCAATAATTCAGTACTTTACCTAACCTGTAAGTACTGACGATAAAACAAATTAAAAAGACTTGGTTGTTAGTGGAAAAGTGCTTAACTGCACTATCTACTTGAGTAAAATAAAAGGCTAAGATTATCCAAAGAATAAGGTTTAGAACTTATCTAACGGATATGACTTTATTACAAACTCGAGGAATGTGCGTATTAACAGCACAACGGAAAAGCGCAAAATGACGTTGAAGCCAGCTCGTCTATGTACAAATTAAAACAAAGTCATTAAGATCGGAATATGCACTACAGACGCCTTCATCCATTCATCATTCTCTAGAGATGGATCAAATGATTATAAAAGGTATGAGTGGTGTCATTTAACCGTTCTATGTATGAAGTGAATTATTAGAACGGTCTACTTTTACGATTATTATGTTTTCCGAATTTATTTCCATGATACTTTCCTCGAGCAAGCAATATTGCTGAGTAAACAATTGACATCATACCATTAAAGGAATGCTAGCCATGATCAGTTTCTTTTACTTTTCACATTGTCTTTTTTAATTTTTCCTTGTAGTACCATTAAGAAATGTGGAAGCATGAATAGGTATATTACTGTAGAAGGTCGTAACTAGATAACTAGTTCAGTAACATATCAGTACTTCTGTTAATAAAATCAGAGTCCTAGTACCGTGAATATAATAAATGAAGATGAAATCATTCAAGTTATGCAGCCAGTCTATTCGGTGAAACACTGCACCACAATACATGTAGTCGTATAAAACTTCCCAAAGCCAAGTGTCTTTAACTACATTACCAGTCGTCATCAAGTGTTAGCCTTCTCTAGTTTACCTGGGGTGCTTGGCGAAAGACAGTTAATCTAGTATCCTTTAAACTTGATGTGCTATGGTGTCGCGTTTCATTTTGCAGGTACATCGCCTATTTAGCTGGAAGGACGCCTCAGCTTAAAGACAATCATCCTGAATTAGATATTGTATAACTCAGTTCTTCAAAGAAGTTTACTTTATAGTTTTCAGGTGCTACTTCATTATCATTACTACTGTTGGCAGGAAAGCATATAATATCCAGCTTTTTTGTAATTTTTTTTATTTATTGAATTAAAATGTCAGAGAATCTACTCAACCAAGTTTTTTGAAATAACAGATTTGGATCCCGAAATGACACTACCAGTTCCAGTCATAGCTCACTACATAAAAGCCCTTGAAACAAGTAAACTACACTTTCCTGAATTGCAAACCTTATGGAATAAAATGCAATCTGATGAGCAATCGCGGTCACCACTGACAACAGGAACAACAAATGAGACTGGTGAAGTTAGTCTCTCGTCCAAAAATTTAATTATAGTCAATATACGTATTTCTACGGAATTGATTGATGCATGGGAAGAAGAATTAACGGAGACGTTATTCAATTTAATTAGTAATTTAGGTGGTACAGTTGGTCTGTGTGCAGGCATCAGTGTACTAAGTAGTTTCTTCCTGGTCTTCTTTTTCGGTAGAGCCCTTTTCCATGCTGCTTTGAGTTTAATTCTTTGGTTTTGGTGGGCAATCTACTTAGGTCGTCCACCTTTACCAGATAATAACAAACTGAATCAAGTGAATTATATTGGAAATAAGATTGAGAAAACTGATTTTCATAGTGCCAATTACAGTGATTCAGAACATATAAATAATATTGAAGCTATACAAACTTCAAGTTCAACAAGTTCTACAGATACAAGTGAAATAATCAACCATAGTAGTCCTTTACATGTTTCTACAAAAAATGACGAATTAGATAAGTTTGAAAAATTCCAAATCAACAGAAAGAATTTAACAGCACAAAAGAAAAGTGACAGTAGTGAAGATAAGCAAATATTGAATGATCGAGAAGAATCGGATGTAAATAAAAAGGAGAAATTAGTCTATAAATTGTTTAGTACTGAAGTGAAAGTTGATACATCATCATCATCGTCATCATCAACATCAACAACATTATCACTGTCTAAAGAAGAATTAAATGATAAAAAAGATTATTATGAAGAGAGTTTACCTGACTATTCTGTGTATGAAGTAAGTTGTTGGAACGTTCTATATCTACTATTTTTATTTCTTTCTGAAGTTAATTTCCATTATATTGTACTTGTGCATCATCCGGGAGAGAGTAAAAGATGCACTTGATGAAGAATTCTGGTCGCAACAAGCTGGATTCAGGAAAAACGCATCATGTGTGGATCGAATTGCAACACCACGCATCATCATTGAACACACCGTAGAATGGCAGTCAAAAACCTACCTCAGTTTTATCAACTTTGATAAGTTGTCCTTAAAGTAATTTTGAATTTGCTTCAATACTACAGCGTACAGTCCTCAAGCCTTTATCAATCTTATTCAACAGCTGGCTAGATGACATTGCCACGTTTCAGGTGATCCACAAAGGAAAACTCAGCAAAGCCTTTGAAGTGAACACAGGAGTAAGACTAGGCAGACTGCCTATTATCACCGATGATATTCTTAATTGTGGTGGACTGGATTATGCGTCAGACTGCGTGTTGAGAGTGAGAAGACAGGTATACGTTGGAAGACCGATAAGAAGACTCTGGGAGATCTGGATTTTGCAGATGATACATGACTAATGTCACACAAACTAGAAGACTTGCAGGCGAAAGCCAAAAACTGGCTGAAGAGGCTGGTAGCGAAGACAGGACCTAAGGTGAAAATAGAGAAGACGGAGGTGATGAAGATGACCAATCGACCAACCAACATCAACAACAACCAACACCAATCACCATCAACGGGAGAGATTTAACAGGGGTTACTTCCTTCACTTACTTATGAAGCAAGGTTTCAACTACAGGTGGAGAAGATCTGAATGTCAAAACCAGAATAGAAAAGGCAAGACAAACTTTCATCATTCTGAAATCGGCTTGGAAATCTTTTGCATTCAGCATATAGGGCAAGATTCAGATTTTCAACACCAGTGTTAAGTCAGTTTTTCTATATGGATCAGGCGGTTGGCACCCACGTCATGAAAAGCACTTTCAGAAGGTTGCAGACTTTTACCAACAGATGTCTCCTTCGTTCCATATTAAAGATCAAATGGTCAGAGAGAATTAGGAACAAGACACTATGGGGGCAAACCATCGAAAAACTCACTGCTAAAGAAAGTGACGGAGAACATGGAAATGAATCGGACACTCGCCGAGGAGACCGTTGGGTGACACTGCATGCTAGGCCCATTTTTCAATACAATCTATCAAAATGGAATTAATAAGGAGGTATTCGTCAACTGACCGAATACAGACCTCCTAAGGCGGTGCAGTGATAAAGTATGGAAATTAATTATACTAGCTTCATCTGAATGGGTATTGGGGATGACAACTAGTACTTCAAAGAAGGATGAGCTTCACTGATCAAATCTACGCCCTTCAACATATTCTGGAGCACCATAGTGCAACATTATTTCTCGAAATGAAGATAGAATTTGACTCCGTCGATCAAGAAGTGCCATGCCAGTGTCTGGCTGTGAAAGAACTGTTGAGAAAGCAAATTATGTTAATCAAAGTACTCTATTCTAATTAATACGGCCTTGTAGGAAGAGAATGCGATATAGTTACCGAGTAACACGTCAGCATTCACTCCTTATTATCACTCGAATCCTGTCGTACGTCATGATACTTTTTTGTCTTATCATATTACCGTTCTCTAATTTTGTGTACTTTACCGAAGTTCAGAAAATTAAACTTATTTATTCTTCTTTATAAAGTCTAATGCCTTTTTAGGTACAACAGAATTTTCATGCTCTAAAGGGAACAAATTCTTTAAATAGTGCCATCGCCAGGCATCTCCTCGACCCGGGTCATGAGGTGGAAATCGAGAAATCCTTTAAAATTATCAATAGACAAAGGAGCTCCATTCTCCTCAAGTTTGCCGAAGCAATTTCTATCAAACGCTTCAAACCAGATTTATGTGTTCAGAAAGAAGCAGTTGTTAGTCTTTCCTTGCCATGGTAACTGCATGTCTTTATTCTCTACTCTGATTACGTAATCTTTGTCTTTAACCTCACCCCTCTTTTTATAATCTGTAATATTGCTTGTCTCTTGTTTCTATGACGTGATTTGAACTCAGTACATCGTTACCAAATTTATTAGTTACTCATCATCTTACTCACCTCTCGTCTTTATTGCGTAACTCCTTTACCATTGTATGCATACATTTATTTTGACTTGAACTGCCTGTGTAAAAACTATATAAGCACAATTTTCTGAACACTTTTCACTAATTGTGGAACTTTCTGTCAACTGACAACATGTAAAATTTGCAAGTATGTTAAAACTTTTCTGTACGTAAACCTCACAATTTATTTAGGCTGTAAGCAGCTGATGAGAAGCCGACGAAATAAATGATGGTACCATATTATTCTGCACAAACCACTGTTGTTCTTGCTTTATTTAAACTTCTACTTGTAATTATTTAGTCCTCAATGTTTTCACATACTTTTCTATCCATTATTGTCTTTTATACAGGTAAGTTCAGAAGAATCAACTCATGGAAATACTGATGTACAGCACGATAACAAAGTCTTCGAAACAGATCTTCCGAAAAAACGAATGGTAAGCAGCTGAATTAATAATAATGCAATTTGAATTTTAGCGGATATTAGCGTCATGGGAGTTATACTAGAAATGGTTTCAATAACTAATCCATCACTAGTTATGAGAAATTTCGGTTTATTAGGAGGTGCACTTCCCAACTGCCAGAATAAAACTAGATGTTGAATAAAAAGACTAATGTCAAAGTAACCAAATATTAATGACATGAACTTCCTAGATTATCTCTGGATGCTCAGAGTATACTAGGGTTTTTCTGACTGGTATGTGTTGAAACAGGTTAGACAGCCCTCTGTTTAAGAATATTATTATTTTGCTTTATTCCTAAACAGTACTTATCATACAGTATGGAATTCTCAGCACTTTGTACAATATTGCATCTGACTTACTCGACAGCAGCAAAAATAAAAAAATTGCAGGGTTTACGTAACCAGGATGGATAATTGCAGCTTTTTAGTGCTGGTAGTGACAATAAAGTCAAAAATGTACAAAATGTGTAGAATAATGATAATAAAGTTAATAGCTAAGATTATAAGTTAACTGAAATAGAGTCACCATAGTTTACAAATAGGAGAGGATAAAAGAGCCAATTATTTTGCTAATAACATAGTCGTAGACTTCCTGTTTAACACTATTTCTATCACATAGAAGGCTCGCCAAATAGGGTATCGTTGGGTTTTTTACTTGGTTGTACAAGCATATAAACTTTTATAATGACTTCTAGTCCTACCTGATGAAATGTAGGGGGAGAGTTCTTTGTTCTACTGATTTTCATGCACATCTTCAGATTACTTAATTTCACCATTCTTTGTCAATTAAGTTGGTGAAATTCCCCTCACTAATCAAAATTTGTGCATTCTTAACTATTAGAGTTTTTCGATTTGTATACGATTATCTGCTGATGAATTTAATTTTCAGTATAAATTAATCTTGGTAGACCTAGTCAAGTATTAAGTAATAATAAAACAGACATTCTTTTACTATTATCAAGGTCGACTAGGTCGTTTAGAAATAAGGATATTCTAACGATAAGCCATAATACTTTTAAGGTTGAAACGTCACTGAGTTTCAAGAATTATTAGCTTTTCAGCCGTTACGACACAAATTCATTTCACTGTGTGACTGACAGTGAACAAAATATTGTAGAATAATACTGTGAAAGGGAAAAACACTTGAAAGTACAAAACTTTACAAAATATCTGAGGGAAGAAATGTCAGCAAATTTCAGTACTAAGAGATGAAATAGGAAACTTCTGAGTCATTTTGTATTGTGTCTTCGGTCATTTTTATCTGTTATCTGAGATCAGTGTCTCATGTTGAGATGAATTCGAAGTGTCACTATTGTTTTTTCTTGGTTTTAACATTTGACTGGCTAATAATAATCACTTCTTTGTGGTGCAACTTATCAAACAACATGCATTGCTAGATAAAATGAGTAGTTACCAAAGATTGACACCAATCACTGATGTGTGCAGCCTAAAACTAATTCACCTAGACATCAAAAAGCTGCACTGCCCTGTTTCAGCCAGGGCTGTTAGAAGTCAGATGGGTAAATAGTATAAGCTAACTGCATAAACGGAACGTACATTTGATGTTTAAATTACCACAACATGATGAACTTACATTTTTAGTTGATGTGAGTTATTTTCAGCTACTATTATCAGTCCTAATAGGCACTGTATAATTTCTATGCTCATAATTTTGGCGTAGGACACTTGCAACTGGCCCTCATGTAGACAAAGTATATTAAAATGTTGCTTAGATCTTTACATCATGAAAGTACTTGATTTGATTTTAATATACTCCATTCTAACTACCTTATGTTGTTTGCTGAATAATATTCAGGTTTATTCTAGCAACACTTTCTTTTTTAAAATAATGAACATGAGGTGAATTTAATTTTCAGAAAGTGTCGCATTCTAACAAGCGTTCTGCTGATACTCTGAACAGACAGATAAATTCAAATACCAAACCTGTTTCCAGTCAGCAAATTACGTATGATAACAACGATAAAATAAACCACAAAAATCAGTCATTGATTAATGAAGATGACTTTCAGGAAAATGCTACCTGGACACTGGACAGGAATAACATTCTCAACAGCGACAAATTTCCGTTCCTTTATCCACCTCCACCTCCACCTCTTCAGAAACAAACACTTGATGAAAAGAATGAATATGACATTTATGCAATTTCAGATGACAATTATTTAAAGAACCCATTGCAGCCAATTTTAGACCAAAGTATTGTTCCAGATTACTTATTTCGACGTTATGCTCATTCTCCATTCTGAAATTCAAAAAAAAAAAACAATGAAAATTATTTGCATCGAAAGTGGCTGATATGCCATACAGAGATGAGAAAAATCGACATGCTAAAAACGCATCTTCTATTAATTTAAAAATTCTAAACTTCACATCTTTCAATAAATACCCATCCAACTCCATTTGACAATAAAAGATCTGTTTTATGAAAACTTCACTGTAGTTTTGAGCTGGTACACTTTTAACTTAATCTATTCATTGTTCATTAATTTGAATGAATAAATCGCATAAGGCTGTTTTGATAAGAAAGTAAACTGACTGAAATGGACAATTGAAATATAAATCATGTAACTGGACATTAAAGAAGTCTCTAATGAGATGAAAACTTTATCACTAGTTATAAACGGTTGTCTTGCTAAATATAGCTTACAGGGAAAGCTATGTCAGAGACTACTAAGTTCTGAAAATTGTAGTCCTAACGATACACGAAAGTAATCTGTGAAGATAACCAAAAATTGTAAAACGAAATACCAAGTTTAATTCAGCGAATGAGAGACAATTTAACTGCTCGGGTTAGTTATAATATGATATATTCGCCATATTAGGGTAACAGTTTCAGTTACAACATTTGAATTAACCTAAATGAGATGTGCATGTTTACCTTTTTGTTCGATTGTGACAATGAGCACGCTACTTTTCCTTCATGAAGTAGAGCAAAAACTTGGAAATTTTTTAAGACAAAAAGCACAATGTATGAGTATATGTGTAGAACATGAATATTGTGGTAATATGTAATTCCACATCAATTTGTTTATTTGATATATCATATAGTGTAACAATATTATTTACTGGACGACGTGTTTTACGACGGACTGTTTGTTCAATTCATCTGCATATTGGTTACAGGATTTCATCATGAGCTGACATTGGCTAGAGAACCATTGGAAAACCAAGGAGTACTGGACAGCTGTTTCATCCCAGTTTGGGACTCTTCATCAGTACGCACCCACCGGGGTTCGTACCCAGGACCTTCTGGTTACAAGGCGAGCTCGTATACCATTAAACCACTGGGACCTGATCCAATGGCCCATGAATTCTAACTTCCGCCAATTCACTGCTGAAGAGTCTCAAACTAGGACAAAACAGCTGTCCAGTACTCCCAGGTTTTCCAATGGTTCTCTAACCAATGTCAGCTTATGATGAAATCCTGTAACCAATCTACCAAATCCCTACAATCCAATACTTGAATATCATCTGCATATTGTTTAACGTCTCTGTCAATGATAAAGGTGAATAGCCAAGTTAACCACTTGCTTAAATACACACAGTGTCCGTTACAGTTTTAAATTAACCTTCATTTTGTGCCGTGAGATTATAGTAGTTGGAAGAAATGGCAGACGTTTGGCTGCTGGTGTCTTGATCGATATTCTCATTCGACCTCATTCAAGAGTATCACAAGTTCTTTCGATTGCAGCAATTTCTAATGACAGTGCCGAGAACGGTTTCATATGTAAACGTGAAACAGAAGTTCGAATCAGCAATAGCAAAAGAGATGGAGAAGTCTAGTGTGACAAATGTCTTCATTTTGTTGTTGGAAAAAATGTTTCACTTCATTTCACTTTCTGACTAGGCCACTAGGTCTTTTTAACCATCGGTGTTCTTAGATTTCTATAGCGTCTGCACTGGCATTAGTGTCTAAGATGAATGGAGCTAAGAATCAGCATCTATAAGAATCTGAATCACTTGTGATGGCAAACGCTTCTTTATTCAGCCAGACCACTATAGGGAATTCATTGTCTGTAAAAGCTCTCAGTGTCTTTTAGTCAGATAATATTTAGACACTACCGGAGTAGAAAAATGGGAAGCAGATCATCTGTATATTATTTTAATCACTGCCAAACGACTAGTCGAGCTATCTCACACATGTTATGTATACTACTGATGTTTGGTGTGGTAGAAAAACAAGCTGAGAGGTACGGTTTGGAATTTGTATAATTCAGTTGGCAAGATAAATGCTGCATACTGACAGTCTAAGTCGAACTTTCACACGTCGTAAGTAGGAGCTAGACCAAGTATTAAGGATTACAAAACTCCATATTAGTTTGTTTATTAGATGTATCACATAGTGAAACAGTATTATTCACTGGATGACAAAGTTTCGAAAACAATCTGTTATTGTTCATAATCATATCAAACGTCATCCAGTAAATTATTCTTTTTTACTGTGTGATATATCTAATAAACAAACTAATATGGAATTACTCACTAACACAGTGCCCAAGTTTTACACATATATTAAGATTATAAAACTCTTCTAAATCCACCTAAGTGCCACGAATCAGCGTAGAACTCTGTACAGAAATGCATCACTTAAAATTTATGATTCTATAGTGCAAGAAAATATATGTTAAAAACAGTAGTTATAACATGGTTTACCATCCAGATAACTGACTTTTTGTGGCTCAGGTGAACAGCACTGATATAAACCGATGCCATTGTTTGATCAATCACCTTTCAAAAGAATAGTATCTCACCTGAAATGAGCAGCAATCAAACACAGTGACCCTGGTCATCTAAAATAACAAAGGCTAACAACTCTGTTAAGCGAATTACCTTCTCTACCTAACAATATACGCCTTCTCATAACTGCTTGCCTTGTTGATTTACCCAACATGTGCATTTGAAAAAAAGATCGATGTTCAAAGATTCTTAAAGCTCTTCATCTCCTCTACTTTCGTCGGTGACGTCTGATTATCTCAGAATAAGACACAGAAAACTGTTTTGCAGTGCTTACTCTTTATCCAAAGACGAGAATTTAACACGTCCAATATGCTGACCGCTTAGCCAACAAATTTAATGACTTAAATATATACGGAAAGGCTTGCATGAGTAAAGAGGACTAAGTTGATCAAGGAGAATTTTTAATTCCTGAGAAACAAAAATTCCGGTCAAGAGCTACTTTGAATACGCATAAACACTGTGACGTCCAAAACTTAGATAGATGTTATATTAATAGCTAAAATGTAGGGAAAATGAAGAGGCAAGTAGTGGCGTATAAAGGTTCAAAAACATGGGTTCATAGTAAAAGTAATGAGGAGGTTTAAGCCCCCTTCACATGAAACACGGTGAAAAGGAGTTTATTACATCCGTTGATTCGGATCACCATGAAAAAGGTGGTGCGATATTTTGTAATGATTGCAACTTATGAGTGAAACATCCTTTGTGACCTCATCATTCTTATTTAATGTATCTGGATATGTTGCAGGTAACTTGAGGCCACTGAGCATTTCAGATTATAAAAGTATGAGGCCCTAGCATCGTAGTAAGTATTTGAGTCTCATTCATATTCCTTGTCCTATTATTACTCCGTACAGTGCTATTCCTCATTGGTTTTCAATCTCTTGTACTGCTCGTTCCTAATGTCTACTTCTGAAATCCAATGTTTAGAAGTCAACTCCTCTGAGAAACTGCAAGGTGACTTTTTTTGATTAACTTTCCGGAGAGGCTTACGCGGTATGTGGAGAACTTTCTCTGGATCATTGTCTCTATCAGACTTTTCCTCTCGGGTGTCTTGTTGTTAAGATTTACCAAGTATTCCAAAAGAGACAAAGTAATGAACAACATTTAACTGTCTCATCCAAAAGTGAAATTTTGACACAGCTACTGGCTGATTACGTTGAAGTTTCTTCGGTGTTACCTTATGAGAGTGAGTGTTTAACTTAGCTCTGATATACTGTTACCCATATTCAATCAGTGAGAAACGTCTTAGCAACAAACTTCGTGCATGAAATTTCAGAATGACCACCGTTTGACTGCCTCTCCGAAAATAAAATGGCGATTAATGTTAGTATCTAAAACAATCGCGACCTCATTCAGGTTGTTGTATCTCCTACTTATAAGCTGTCTGCTATACCTACCGCAATGCTAGTATCGAATGATGGATGGCTAATGGGAGTAATACTGTTTTGTAATACTGCCAGTTACTATTCCCTGATATGATGATGGATAACCGCCGATCAGGCATATGCACGTCCTAAATTTTTATTCCCAGATATTCGGTGTAGAACGCTGACCAATACTTTGTTTGAGGAGGGTACTGAAACAGAATGGCTAATCTGAATACCACTCCAGTCAATCCAATAAAAATATTGATAGTCATTTGGATATTTGAAAAATTCGTAATTATTACACTTAACCCGTGACCTGTGTGTCAGCGTTTTAATATTTTCAAATCTTCTGTAGAATCAATCCTTATTACTAGAGTTAATTTTTGGTTGATTTCTGTTCTTAGTGGTTCACTTTGAAGTTATGTGACGGTAAACTGTTGACAACAGTGTGTTGTTTACTATTGCGATTTCATATGGATGAATGTGTAGCGGTAATTAATTTCCCAAAATTATGAATATACAGCACCCTGAATTTAACATTGGATGCTGATCTTCACCGTTGAAATCAACTTGTTAAACTGAAGGTATGTTGTCAAGGTCCCTCACCATTTGGCACTCTGTCGTGTCACATCCAGCAGGAACTTTGGCAGTAAATCAACTATCATCGCTCTATGTTTCTAATCCCGAAATATATCTCGTATTTTGAAAGGACAAAGTTAAACTTTAAGCACCACCGACTACTAATCAGCGAATGACCTCGAACGCACCAATCACGTGAAGGAGGCATTTTTGTGTTTGGAATACATATGTTTATGAAAAAATGCATAAAAACTGTATAAAAGTGTTGCAGAGCATACCTCTCTCTCAAATTTATAAAAATAGCTCTCAGTTTTAGGCTGGAGTATCAACAGAATATAATTCCATTGTGGATAAAATTTATTTTGATAAGGTCTCACAGTGTTATGCAGTAATATTTACTGGGCAATAGACTATATTCAAAACGCTGTCAGTGTGAGACTTTATCAGAATAAATTTTAACCACAAGAGAATTATAATGTACCATAGTGCACAAGTTCTATTATTATATTAACAAAGCAACTTAACCACATTCTATGCAAGTAATTATTCAGGTCTTCTAACCC